CCAAAAATGCAGTTAGAAGAAAATTTTGCTGGAATGCATATGCTAAAAGATCCTTTTCCTAATGTATAATCTTGAAAATAAAAATAGTAGCAACCATTTGCAGAGGCTTTGATATGCATCAGGAAATCTGCATATAATTCCTCTAATACTTTACAAAAACCCTGTGAGGTAGGTATATTATTCAAGCTTTTCAAAGGAAGAGACTAGGGTTAGGTAACCTGCCAACCTAGATGACAGAGGCAGGAGGAGAACCCAGCCCATATGCCCTCAAATGACATTCTCTTTCTTCTCTACTACATCAGAGTCCCTACATCCCCCTGACAGGCAGCCTCTCCACTCACTAGGAAGAGAAAAGCAGCATTCCGATCCCAACAGAAAGAAGAAATGGCCATGCTATTGCAGAAACCTTATTTCTACACCATTTAAAAATTTTTCACGTTATACTAGGCAGAACTTACTCAACACTGAGAGATGTCCCCTGCCCAAACCATCACTTTTTCTAGCACTTCCGTCATTGTTTTAAATTACAGGGAAATTCTAAGCTCAGATGAATTGTGTTTATTGCAAGAATGTTTAAACTGTGGAGTAAGGGGAGATTCAAAAGGTGATTGTCCTTTGGGGTGAGATGAAAATTAAGTTTTGTGCCTTTGACAACAGGCCACTGAATTGGACATTGACTTTTATCTGGATAAGTGATGTAGACTTACTTGTGGTTATTAAACCATATAACCAAAGGACTGTTTTTAGTCCACCTATAAGGACAAAGAAGTAAGAAATCATGGAAGAAAAGGAAACAAGTTGAGAAGAAACTAGCATTTAATGAGGGCCAGTTATATGCCAGAGGCTATTGCACGCAGCATCTCATTGAATCCTGATAGCCCTCTATGAAGGAACAGATGATGAATCCCACCTTTAGAAGAAGATGCTAATGCTCATGATGTTAAAAGTTCAATCAAAACCTCATGGCTAATGAGAGGCAGTGGCAGGCAAGGAACCCAGGTCTTCTTGATTATTTTCACTATTTCCAGCTGCCTCCCTGACATAACATAATAAAGTTCTTTATAATGGGATTTTACCTACAAAACCACTTTTTTATTTCTCTGATTAGATTTAATTCTTTCTAAATTCTGCATAACCCCAAAATAGAAGTCTCTGAAGCCATTTTTTAATTCTATCCCTGCATTCATCTCTATTTATTTAGCTCCTTCTATGTGACAAGCACTATGGTAAATACTGGAGATACAACAGCAAACAAGGCAGACACTGTTCTGCCCTGATAGAGATTGTATACCACAACCAACTTTTTCAGTACAGAATCAAAAAGTTAGCATTTTAGGCGTTGCAGGCTGTATGTTCTGTTACAACTACTCGGCTTTGCCATTATAGCATAAAGTAGCTACAAATAATACATAAATTAATGGATGTGGCTGTGTTCCAATAAAACTTTACTTGTAGAAACAGTGGGCCAGATTTTGCTCATAGGAGTTTACTGACCTCTGCTCTCTCAAACAGGCCTCAGAAAAGTAATCAAGTAATTAGAACACATTGTGATAATTACTCTAATTAAACAAACTACAGTAAGCCCTGGAACTATATTGCAGGGACACCTGATTGAAAGAAATCTTTAAGACTGGCATTCACAAAGCCACCTGAATGATGAGTAGGAATTAACCAAATAATCTTTTCTAGCCTTTTTCTACTTATTTTACTCATGTTTTTATTTAACTACATTTTTAGTGAACAATTCTTTATTTTATGAATACTTAAGTCATTTTGCTTGTCTTAGACCTTTTCATCAAAATAATTCAAGTCCTTTCCCCTTCGTTCCTCAACAAGAACATCAAGTTTTTTCCTTCAGCCTGTCATATTCTAAGTGATTTTACTCCATACATCAACAGTCTTTTCAAAGTCTGAACAAAAATAAAGTCAAACTTAGATAAATTTTATGGTATGGAAATTAAACAAAAGGCTACTGAAAATAAATAAAGCCAACGGGCTGACTACCAGGAGTTCTCACAGGATATCTGAACTTTGTTGAAGCCAGCATAGACCAGGATCTGAGGAAGCTCGACTTTATCTCAATCTCAAAAATTTCTCACAGATAAAGCTTCAAGGGACATGAAATCACAGCCAAAATCAAAAGTACACATGGTAGGAAGGCATCATGAGAGAGAGTTGTAGAAACAACAGATAGCAAAGTGTCACCTGCAAAGACTTCAGATATTGAAATTATCAAACACAAAATATAAAATCATATACTTAATATTTTTACAGAAGTAAAAGAAAAGATTGAGCATATCTTCTTCTTGAGATAGGGTATACCTTGTCTTGAGCAAGAAACAAGGGACCATAAAAGAGACCAAGTAAATTTGAAAAAGTGGAACTTCTAGAAATGCATTAACGAATGACTAAAAAAACAGATTAAATGCAACTGAATAATTGATTCAATTATTAAACCCAGTGGAACTTCTAGAAATGCATTAACGAATGACTAAAAAAATACCAGATTAAATGCAACTGAAGAAAGAATTCGTTATTTGGAGACACAGATTCAGTTAATTTTGCCAAGAAAGACTTAGAGAACAGGAAGACAGGTCTAGATAAAGAATCAAGGATTGATTAAGGATTAATCAAGGATTAAGACACACAGGAGGTAGAATATATGAAAAAGACATAAAATGTTCTAGAAAGATGTGAAAGGGCAAATGTGGAAGGGGCTCAATTCCAAGACAGCAAGACCAAGATTTTCTAGAATGATTGAATGAATGAAAGCAAATTTATTTTCATCTGTAAAATAAGAAGCCCATTACCCAGTGAATAACTCTTCCTTGTTCACTATACTTGGGAAAGTTATAGTAAAGGGATTTTCTACTATTTTCAGAGGTGATTGTGTTGTGAGGCAGAGATGGTATTTTCACAATATTCTACTGTTTGGGCTTCAAAATGAGTAATATTATGAAAAACATTCTGCCCAGTTTGCATTTTTTCTATTTACCAAATTCACCTGTGTCTTTCCACAACATTACTTTGCTGCTTTTAGTAAAAACTGGGACACATTTGAATCTAAGCTTTAGGGTAATGTTGAAATCCCTGGAGCTCCTCAATGTCCAGTACAGGGTTCAACACTTAGCAATTGCATAAGGAAGGTTGCTGACTGACAATCAGCACGATTATGTCAACAACAATGGGAGATTAGCAAGCTTATTGAAAGTGATATCTGAAAGAGAGTAAGCTAACAGTGTTTTTCCAGACCTTGAAATAAAATTGGATTTAGCAAAATCCATCTTAATACAGATGTCCGCCAGTCCAACCACAGGAAGGGCTCAGGTTGTAGAAAAATAATCTTAGCAAACATTTATGGATCATTTGCTATTTGCCAGGCACTGTGCTAAGCATGTAATGAGAAGAAAACGAAAATTATTTTGTATCTTATTCAACAAATGTTGTTTAGCCTACATAATTGAAAACAAGGTGCCTATATTCTCTAAATGTATCAATGAATCCTAAGCCTGGTGCACTCAGCTATAACCATTATAATACCAAAAGGCATCACATGATAAATAAAATTAATTTTATTTCACTTAGAAAAGTAAACTTCATGCTATGAAAATTTTTAAATTGATGAAAAGTTTGGGGTTTCTGAAATCCTTTTTTCTGAATGCAGTAAAAACATATAAAACAAAACAATACCCATAGAGAAACAGCCAGAAAAATGTTTCCTGGTTTACTAGTTTGGTAGATTGGCCTCAAGGCAGCGAGTCTCAAAGTTTAGGATGCACCAGCATCATCAAAACCCTTGTAAAAAATGTAGATTCCTGAGCCCAATTGGAAGGATTCTGATTTAGCAGGTTTGGGCTGAGGCCCAGAATTCAGCCCTTTCCATAGGTACCACAGGAAAGTGTGGACAGACATCCCTCACAAAATTCTGTCCTAAGAGATACAGAACCTCAGGCCCTCCCTTTCCTGTGAACCCTGAGAATCCTGAACAATTCCAGCTTACCCATAATATTGATAAGATCTGCAAGGGTCCAGTCTGGTCTGAATTCCTATGTGACTCTGACCTGAATCCATAATTACAGGGATGGATCAGAGCCATGATTTCTGGGCATGAAGTAAACTTCTATTCATTATAACAGCATCTTTAATAATTGATTCAAAAGCATCATGCACTTAAATTCTTTTCATATGCCTATCTATCCCTCCCCTCCTCTAAAAAAAGAATGGCCTCACCTTTTTATAGTCGTTATGGTAATGGGCCATTTTCTCTTGGTCTTTCGATTCAGATTCAGTTTCAAGAATGAGAAAGGATAGTTTCAGCAAAACTGATGTTTGTAACATTTTTTATTTAACCTGAAGAGTGAGCGGTCAATATGTTTACCTGATTTCATCACAGCCAACTGGACATCAAGACCTCTTTAAAGTAAAGCACCATGTTAAGTGACTAAAACTAGGAGGTGGAGAGGATATGTAAACATCTTTAGTAAAATACAATTGAATTTACTCTTATTTTGAAGCAACCTTTTGCAGTATCCTTTAGGGACTGTTTCCTTAAGATAAAGACTGTTACAAGTGATAGATCCCAATTATTACTAAGCCATAAGGCTTTATCATTTCCGTTTAATGTGTGAATCAAAGGCATTTGCTCTCAATCATGGAAAGACAATCATGAGGAAAAATACGTGAAATATATTGAATTCAACATCTACTTACCAACATGAAATTCTTGTCTACTAAACTTCATACTACATAATATTAACTCCAAAGGGTTAACTGTATATCACTTTTTTCTCTCTAGAACTTTTTGATGACTTTGCAAACCAGTCAACAATTCAGCACAAAGGCATCAGAGTCACGCTGACGTGTTGTGACAGAATCACAGGATCGCATGGGATTGATCTCATTCTGAAAATGCCTGAACCCCGAACAGCAGAGGAAAATGGAATCAAATGTCAGAGCCGGCATAGCCTGAGAGAGACTTGAAACTCAGACTCCACCAATCTATGGGGAAAGTTTCCTGCTGTGGCATGAAATAAAGGTAACATAGAAAATGACAGCAAGACTTCAAAGAACAACGCTTGCTTTGCTTTTCCTTGGCCTCTTTGGGGTCCCGGAGGCAACAATATCTTGCAGAAGTGAAGAAGGCGAAGCTGTGGATTGGTAGGTAAATGAAATAAAAAGATCGGTGCATGCAAATAGAAAGCCAGAGTATCAGAAGCAAACTTATTTACTGTGAAGTTCCAAAAAAGACTTCCACCTTAACTCTCTGCTTAAAATGAACAGAAATTAAAGTGTGTAAGTGGGCCACTTATCCAGATGGGGTAAGCTTCTGCGTGAGGGAGCTTCCCCGTGAGAAAGAGCTGAGCAGCCCCTGTAGGCATGATGCACTGCTCTCAGTGGGGCAAGACCGGTGGCCACAGATGTGGGGTAGAACTGACAACTTCTCTCAGTCGGCAATTTTCTTTCATTGCATTGTGTCTTTCCTAACAGAACCCTTCCAACATTTTTTGAGAGACTGACAAAGGAGAAATGGCAGATTATTATTTTTCTGATACTAGAGCTTAGGCTCCTCCTTAGGACAATGAGAAAGAAGGGTGATCATACATAGCATTGTTTGGTCAACCTCGTTTATTAGGCAGCTCTTGAAGTATGAGGTGGTCACTGGCCTCTTGCACAGTGTTAAAGAGACTAAACAGAGCATTGCATCATAGTCATAGATTCTCCTAAAGCTTTGATCACCTTTTTGTTCTTTAATTAGGGTATTTTGATTTGCCATTATGATCAGCGTCAAGCTTTGTGTAAACTAGAGAACACAGGCATACTCACTCAGCCTCTCAGTAAACAGTTACTGAGCTCATATCAGGCCCTGTGCTGAGTTTTAAAAATATAAATATGAGCAGAACATATTTTTTACCCCTTAAGGAGCTCATAGTTATGCAGTAAGGGCATAGATGGGGCGTTGGGGAGCATAGAGCCCAAAAAGTTTCTCTGAGAAAGTTTTGAGCTAATTTTTAAGAATGAATACGAGTTAGTTAGAAAACCAACAGAGATGCAAAAGCATCTCAGGCCAGTGAAGGAGCAATGAGGAGGTCCAGAGGCAAGAAGTAATGAGGAGAGTTTGAAGCAGTTCATTATTGCTGGCTCCTCAGGAGAATGTGAGGAAATGACAAGAGTTGAGCTTAGAGAGATAGATGAGGGTCAGGTCATGAAGGCCTTCCAAAGGGAGCTACTGAAGGACTTCAGGCAGGGATGTATTGTGGTCAGATTTGCATTTTAGAAAGTGCCTTGGCATTACTGTGAAGGCTGGCTAGCCGGGGACCAGTCTAGAGTCGTGGAGACCAATAGGACTTTTGTAGCATTACAGGTGAGAAGAGGTGTGAACCCAAGTTAGAGAAGTGGTGGTGGAAACACAGAGGAAGAAACACTCTGAGAAGACTTGGTAATGGACGGGCTGAGGATTGTAGGAGCGAGGGATAAGTTAAGAAAACTTTCAGGTTATTGGCTTCTGCGACTGTAGGATGTGTTCTCTAACAGCAGAGGATGAGGAAATTTGGAACAAAATATCATAAAGTTGATTGCAAAAATATGAAGTTGAAAGTCTTTGGCCTGAGCATAGAGATCTCGATTAGAAATTGATTTGAGAATCTTCAGTGTATAATTGGAAATAGTCACCCAGGAAAAATATTTAAAAGCATTAATTCTCAACTGGTGTGCCACGGCACACTGATAGTTCATACACCCTTCACTGGTGAGTCACCAAATAGTGATAAGTATAAAAAATGTATTTTTGCCACAACTGAATGGACATGTTACCTAGCAATATCCATCAGAGGATGCTCAGCTGAGCAGACAGTGAGGCACAGTCTCAAACTGCTACAATTTATTGTGAGACTTAAAGGGCAGAGTAACATCACGTCAGCACCAAAGAATAATTTCTTGCTTCCTGTCACATGTGGGGACCTTGCCCTTAGAGTGAGAAAGCATGGGAAGGGCAGAAAAGAGTTTACTTAAATAAAAGCATTAGATTAAAGAGAACCAAGTAAAGAGTGAGAAGCTTTTATTGGCAGTTGAGACACTGTTGTGTGGTAATAGCGAATGCATTATAATGTTTGCTTCACTGTGAATGTTTTGAGGGTTAATTGTGGAGTTTGTGATATTAGAGAGTACTTGGCTAGACAAGTACTCTCACGCAGAAGCTTACCCTATCTGGATTTTGCCTTCAGGGAACTTTCAGCAATGTTTGGAGACATTTTTGATTGGTACAATTAGGAAGTACTGCAAGCATTTAATAAGTGGAGGCCATGGATGTTACAATGCACAAGACAGTCCCCCACAACAAAAAATGGTCTGCCCCAAAATGTGAATAGGGTACCTGGAGAAACCCCCAGCTAAATGATCGAAAAATGCCTGAGTGCTATGTGGGCCCATCACCTCTTCCTGTGTGATACCCAAAGGAGATATACAAACAGGAGACAATAGTAAAGAAAAGCAAAGTGTCTACATAATTAGTTGACCTTGGCCCTGAATCTTCAAAGTAGAGCATTCTGAGAAACTGAGCTGAAGAATGTGGCTTAGGCCAGAGGCTCAAGAAATCTTCCATCTACCTGGAAGCACCATCCCAAATCTCAGACCCAGCCAGCTAGTTGCAAAGATGAACATGCCAAGCACTTAGGGCAGAAGGGATAAATGTATTGAAAACCTCTCCAGTCCAGGCCTTGGCTTTGGCCTTCTCCCCACTTTAGCCATATGGACTGTGGAAACAACAAAATGAGGCACTCTCGATGTACATAGACTTCCACTACAGGGACCCCACCCACCAGGCCAGTTAATGTCTTACAATAAATCCAATCGGATTTGCATTTCTTTATCTGGAAATGAGCAATAATGAGGGTGGGGGAAAACAGTCAAAGAGCTTGACCTCATCTCTTTCATTAGATGTAGAGGCCTTTTGTGAAACTTAAGTGAAACGATATATTTAAGTGCTTAACACTGTGACTGTCACCAGGGAAGCAGTCAATAAATGTTAGTAATTCATAATTATCTCTTTTGTTAGGTTTACCTTTTATAAGTTACCTAAAAGACAAGACAAGGAAAGTAGAAAGACTGGGTTAGAGTATCTATACCTAGACTCTACAACCAGAAGCTGGAGGAGGAGTAAGCAATTAATAAATACCACCAAGAGTGTTTTGGGAAGGACCTTAGAACAGCTGTATGAAGCATATGCCTCCAAGGTATGTTATAGTTAATTATTAATTAAATCATATAAAATACGTAAAATAGAATCCAAAGCTTCCAAAAGATTTTAACTGTTCACCTACTCAACCCCCAATCCTAGCAATGTGAAGTAAACTAGCTCAGAATCTGAACCAATCTGAGCGAGAGCCTGGGAAATATGTCATCAGACTCTACAGCAAAGCCAATTTATTGGTACATTTGGCACCATGTCCCACAGTATCACTGGGAGAGATGTGAACTAATTACATATTGAAGTGTTCAGGTGCCAGATTCTCCTAATTTGCTCAGTACTTGCTATCTTATCCCTCTAATGAAAATATTTACAATGAAATACAGATCTGCGATCCATATGCCATGAGTCGTGGGTTGTTTATGCCATGGCGGTGATGAGTGGTGGTGACATAAGTAAAGGGTCTCACTCAGTCTTCCTTTTAATTAATCTTTCTCAAAATGGTAGATCGAGAGCTAGGACTCTAGTCCAAGACCCTAGAACTATCTTGCCTGAATGGAGATTAAACCTGCTCTCTGGACTCCATCAGGCAGTGAGCTAACCAGCCAGAGACATAGGTAAGTAGGCCTGCTGGCTCAATGTGGGCAGTCCCCCAATGTTCCAGGCACCATCTGCTGTTCAGTGGCAAGACATGCTTTCCTACCAGGAATAACAAGTAAAATCGAGCAATAATTAATATCCAATTACACTCATGTATGCATTTTCTAACAACTTATAGAGAAGTAAATAAGTAAAATGACTTAGCACTTACAATATTCTAGGCCTTTACATATGTTAACTAATTAAATCCCAACAATACTGTGTTAAAAACGTGTATTTGAGTATTTACTCAGAATGTTCAGGGAGCTGTCACTGTGTATGCTAATATTCACTTTATGCATTTACCATTAACGCCAGTCTTCAGAGCCAAGTTACAAAGTCAAAACATACTTGTATGCTGTTTGATTACCTGTAACATGTCAAGCACTGTTCTAAGTGCTTTTAAAAATTATTTAATCTCAACAACAACTCTGTTTTGAATTAATAGATTGTTATGTAAAATCAAATCTGCCTGTAGCTGCTTCTGCTTTCCCAAATTGGGGGTGAAGACTCCCAGCACAGGCCAGCAGTGAGAAAATAAACAGTTATATTGTTCCCTTCTCCATCTCAGAGACTGGGTGGGGGCAGGGGAGTGGGGAGCAACATTGTAAAGCCTCTGTCAATTACCTTACTCGGGGCAGATGGTTCTTAGTTTTGCAGAATATAATATGATAATAATGATCTTTGGAGGCTCAAAAGTAGCCCTGGAGCCTACGAGGACAAGAGAGCTAAACTGCTCTGCAATATAAAAAAGAAGTAGATGGGAGGTAGGAATTAAAGAGTATAATAAACATTGAGGAAAATTAGGGGCAGGTCAGCATGGTAATGTAAAACTGTTCAATGTTCAGAACTTCAGTAAAACCTGTTAACACACAATGCCTTGAATGATTCTATGAAGAAAATGACAGGAAAGGGCTAATTTCCATGTTTGATTGGTATGGACCCAAAAGAAGAGCAACAATAGTGAGTGATATCCAGGTGAGACTGGGTGCTTTTTGGAAACTAGAACCATGTGCCAGAGTGACCTTTAGAACATAAATCCCCACCTCCTGACCTGGAACTGAACTTCTAACAGAGTAAAATGCAAGATCAGACCAACCGGTTTTAAATCTCAAATGTCAAGGTGACCTAGGCCAATAACTGGGTTACCTTTTAAATTGTTTTTCTTCTTTTGCCTTTGTATCTAAGAACCTTCCAAACACCTTCATAATAACACTTATCAAACTATGCTGCAATTGTTTGTACATGCCTGTGTATACTCTGCTAGACTGGGAGCAGCGACCACAGATACCCCTCCTGTTCTACAACAGTAGTCAAAATAATACCTAACATATGTGTTAAAGGAATAAACTGTGCAAAGGCACACACTTACATCTGTCCATTCTTAAATCCATGATCTTTCTTCCTATATCAGAGAGCCTCTCTCCCCACTAGGGCTACAACCCATATAACCTTAGCTGGCTGTTCCACACCTGGTTGGAATAATGAACTCCATCTGTTTTAAGAAAGAGTTCCTCATTGAATCTTTCCAGAGCCCCTCCACATTGCACTCCAAAGGCACACAATGGCCTCATTGCCACATTTGCTTCAGGCTTATAGAATAACTAACTGTCAGAGTTCTCCAGAGGAGGATATGCATGCCAATGTAGCTACGGTCAATTATGGAAAATGAGGGTAAGAAAACAGCTTAATTTCCTAGATATTCCTAAGCACAGTAGCCAAGAATGCTAGACAGATTATGTTGTACATTTTTTACAGATGTTTTTAGATTACATCAAATAATTAAGCAACTATAATAGATTCATTTATTGACTTTTTTTCCAAGAGAAAAGCAAGGGCCTTTTTTAAGGACATGAGCTGCCCTTTCTTGTTTTTAATTATGTCATTGTCATTGAGATTTTTTAATATTGACATTATTGGCTTCAATAAAAGTCCCTGCATCATGACACAAATGAAATGAAACTGCACAAAACAAATATAAGCACTTTCCAAAACATGACAAAGAGATACTATCAAAATAATAGCTTCCTTTTGACTCAGAGATTTGGCCAACTGTTTGGAGAATTGACTAGTATTTTGTCATAAGAGAGGAAATTCAGTATCACATATTCAATTTCACCACTTTTCCTAAGCAGGGAAACACCAAGGTAGAAAGGTGAAGTGACACAAAAAGAGATTGAAGAAAAATCCTCCCTTATCCCTGAGCTAGGAGAAACAGAGAATGAAGAATCTGATTAAACACAAAGCTATGACCAAGCTGTGAAGCACAAAGTAGGCAGAGGAAATCAGATCCTGACAACCAGTTCTGCATTGCGCCTATAATATCAATGGAAAAAAACCCAGATGTAATCCTTGGCTGATTGTTCCTTCTTCATTTCCTGAACAAATATTTAAGTATTTCTTTATTATACACTAGCTGCCAAATCAGAAACATGGGCTCAAAACAACAAAGAGAAATAGGAATATTGCCCACATCGGCAGGGCTTCTGTCACACAAGACAGATCCATGCATGGCTGAGAATGGACTTCCTGTCCCTTGTCTTGCATGTCACAGAATTCACATTGATGGAGAAGTTGCCTCTTAGGGAAAAGAATGACTTTTCATGTATATGAATGAAAGCTCTGTATTGCAGGTTAGATAGCTGGTAGAAATATTGTGAGCATTTGTGAGTGGAAGATTTACATCTTTATAACACTAATATGTTCCTGCAGAATAACAACACTGCCTACCTAATATACAATGATGGAGTCCCTAAATCTGTGAATTACAACAGAAAGTATGGACACACCAAAGGTATGACAAAAGCTTTTAGTGTTTCTTTCCTACTGGAAATCAACATTTTCTTAAATATTCCATCTTGAATGTTCTTATATTCTACACTAAAAAGATACCTTTTCGTTTTAATGATTTATTTTGAGTTATCAAAACACATGATTTCTACACAAGTTATAAGTACAAAATTTGACTTAGCAATCTGCTTTTCACAAATCTCCTTTTCTTAACATATTTTTAAATAATGTTTTATAACAGAAATCCATGTACTGACTACTGGAAATACCAGCTACACACACACACACACACACACACACACACACACACACACACACACACACACATTTTAGTCAGGTTCATTGAGGTATAATTTACACAGAGTAAAATTAACTCTTTGTACTGTAATAAACATTTTTGAAAATTTATTTTCAAATAATTTTTATATTATAGCAATTTTGTTACATATTTTGTTACATATTATTATAAACTATGTATGCATGTATATGAATTTTAGAAAAATTAAAAATGCAATGAACAAAAATAAATCTGTACTCTTAAAACCCATTAAATGATCACATTTAATCCTTTCTACTTTTTTATAATACATATTTTAAAATATTTTTATAAAACCATCATTATGACTTTTTCAACCTTTTTTCAACTTGGTATATTATGAATAACTTTTCATGGCAACAAGTGTTGAGAAGGTTCCAAACCCAAATGTCTTCAGGAACAGGTAAGTGATGTCAGCAAGCGAAGTGGGCTAAACTAGCAGATAATTGGAAAAGTGGAGAGCACATACTTAGTCTAAAGGAACAGTTACTACTCAGCGTGCCTAATAGGAATGCAGTTTTTCAGAGGAAAATTAGTACTTGTGGGAAATCTCCCCCACTTTTAAATGTTGGCAATGAATTCAACATTTTAAAACATAATATGTATTTGTAGGTTAGATATGTCCTGTGTGCTGCCAGTTTGCAACCTCTGATAAAGAATGAAATTTGTAATGGCGGTTAAAATTCGTGAACATTGAAAGCTTTTGATTTAGCCAAGTTTCCCTCCTGATGGTCCTATTTGCATGGAACCCAATAATTTTTATAATCTGCCATGTCTCCAACTTCTTCTTCAACAACCTCTCACCGCAATTCCATCCTGCTAGTTGTTACAAGGGTTTGGGAAAAACACTGGAAAGGGAGTTGGGCCCAATGTCAAGTGGGGGAGTTCACTTTGCCAACAGGTGCCCTGACATCCTGTGGCATTTATACCAGGAGGTTAGGATTACAGCCAAATAGTACACTCATCTGGGCAGAAGAGAGCCCCTGAAAGTCATCCAGCTCAGTTAGGCAACAGAACTTTGAACATTTCCTACCCACACACAGATATTGATTTATATGCACTGAGAGAGCAATCGAGTACCTTCTTAAAGTGTGTTTTTGAAAAAGAAATAACTAGCAGGCGTTTAGTGTCCACTTAACCAAAAGGCAAACATGAATGTTTATGTTTGCATAGTCATATGCAAATGGAAAAGTCTAGGTAGTATACCAAAACTACTCTGAAGTTTTATAAACAGAGTAGTTTATAAACAGAAATAGTCATAGATGCCTGCTGGGCAGGGCTTTTTTTGCCAGGTCACAAAATGATGAAAATCTTTGTTTATTTTCTCTCTGGCTTTCATGTTATCTTTTGCTCTAGAGATTTTTACTAAACACAATTAACTGGGATGGTTTAGCATGGCTTCTCTTTTGTTTCTTTGCCTCTTTTTTCCGGACTTGGGGAATTAGGTGACTCTTCTGCAAACAACTGAGCATCCGTTTCTTACAACAAATTACTGCAAGTACATTTCTTCATTTGATATTTTCTCTTTCAACTTCGTTTTTTTACTGGCTTTTGAAACTAGCTTAGCTGTTTAGCAGTGAAGAGGAATCTGAAGCTTACCAGATGACTGTATAGTTTAACAAGGTCAAATTCCAACTTAGCAAATTTGCATTCTGCCAAAACAAATTTTCCTTATGGTTTCGATGAAATTTCTCTTAACTTATCACAGAGTGGCTGCCCTGGATCCTCTTTTGTGGTGGGTTATTATCCATAATGGGACAATGTAATCTGTGCCTGAATTGGTTTTGACATCTTTGAAAAAATAAGCATGATTCGTGTGACTATCAGCCTAATAAAATATTAGCCTGAAGTAGAAATGAACTTAAATGTTGCAACTTTGAATCCTATATTTAAAAGGAATTTTGTTTTTCCAATTTACATATATTAACTATCTTTGGTAGGAATATTGCTGTGGAACAAAGTCCAGGGGTTCTGGCTGATACATTCTATTCCCCAGTTTCCTCCAATTCCTGAAGAAGGCTATGATTATCCACCCACAGGGAGACGAAATGGACAAACTGGCATCTGCGTAACTTTCAAGTACAACCAGTACGAAGCAATAGGTAACTTTAAAGCGTGTTTAAGGGAGATAGCAATGTTTAAGAAGGGATTTGGGATATATTAATAAATTTATCACTTGATTTATTTCTCTATTCATTGACACTCTAATACTTACATTCTAATATTGGCTTTGCCATGATTAGGCCTTGAGCAGGCTCACTTACTGGATCTTGGTATACTGGTCCTTCAAAGAATTCTAAGCATTTGATTGGGGTAGTAGTTTAAAATGTCTGCAGAGGCCAGGCAGGTAACAGAAATGAGTAAAACAAGTAGATGTTGCATGGCAGTCAGGACAGTGACAAACTGGAATGCTGACTCTTCCTTAGTTTCCCGTAAAAACTTCAGCTCCATCATATTGTAGGAAGAATGCTGACTCTTCCTTAATTTCCTGTAAAAACTTCAGCTCCATCATATTGTAGCTCTGCGACAATGTAGACCTAATGGTTAGTAACCAGAAATCTAGGTTGTGTGTGTGTGTGTGTGTGTGTGTGTGTGTGTGTGTGTGTGTGTGTGTCTTAAATCTTGTTTTAAGACAAATCTTGTTTCATATTCATCTTCACTGAAAAAATTAAAAATGGTCTCATTTTATTTTTTTGAAAAATTGTGTAAATCTCATGTTGCCTGTAGGCTGCCAGCCTGACCCCTCTGAGCCCCCAGATGATCTTCCTTTAAGATCTCAAGCTCAAATGACCAAAATATTTGACTTTGGAAAACTATGATGAGGGAGGAAGAGAATAAGAACCACTGTTTACCAATCATTTTTTACTGAGGTGGTTGCTAAACATTGGCAAAGAGTGACTTGCATCTAGATATAAGAGGTTTAGAAATGTTTTTCATACGATTTTCATCTTATGGCAAGGATTTGTGAGCCAAGTCAAGCCCCAAGCTGACTAATGTAGTTCATGTAATGATAGACAGCTGACTAGCATCGAGATTAGGTGTGCATGCTGATGAGTTGATCATTCTTGGAGGTAGATGATTGGTACATGGGAGTGCTCTACTTTTGTATATGTACATATAAGAGAAAATAACTTATGGTCTCCAAGGCCAGACTACCTGGGTTTGTAGTTACAAGCTTTACACCTTTCAGCATGACATGAATTCTCTGTTAATTCACCTATAAAATGAAGATAATGATAAAAGAACTTACCTAATAATAATGTTGCTATGAGGATTAACTAGTAAGTCTATGTAAAACTCATAGAACAATACCTAGAAAGTAGGAAATGCTCAGTAAGTATCAATTATTTTAACTAAAAGTTATTTGCAGGCTATTGGCTTAAAAAAGAGAATAGTTTTATTTTGTTTTTTTAATTCACAAAAGATCTATAATATCAACAAGATTTCCACTTATATTTTAATTCTCAATTTTTCTTTATTGTTTCTTGTTTCAGATTCTCAACTCTTGGTCTGCAACCCAAAGATTTATAGCTGTTCCATCCCGTCTACCTTTCACCAGGAGCTTGTTCACATGCGCAAGCTCTGTGCCAGCTCCAACTCATCAGAGATCCCTAGCCGGCACCTCATCACACTTCAGTCAGCCCAGGGACAAAACTTCTTCCATTTTGCAAAATCTGATTCTTTTCTTGATGGTATGAAAGACCATCATCAAACAATATGCTATGTAACTCTGTTGTTGGACTCACTTTGGATTGTGTAGAAAAAATATTCTGACTTTTCAGGAGAAAAAAGTAGAAAAGAAAGGAAGAAAAAGAACATTTTCAGACACTAATATCATCATAGTAATAATAATAACTTTTATTTGCATATTACTTTAGCATTTATAAAATATTCTGTCATTCACTATCTCAATTATGTTATTATTGTGCTAGTGACATTGACATATCAGGGGTGAATGATGATTTCCATTCTTGAATATATTTTCAGAGACTTATCTAAGTATAAACACTAATCCCATTATCTTTCTTCTTATAAACTCTAGACATTTTTGCAGCCTGGATGGCTCAACGATTGAAGACGCACTTGCTAGCAGAAACCTGGCAGCGAAAGAGACAAGAGCTTCCTTCAAACTGCTCCCTTCCTTACCATGTCTACAATGTCAAAGCAATTAAAATATCTGAACATTCTTATTTCAGTTCTTATCAGGATCATGCCAAATGGTGTATTTCACAAAAGGGCACGAAAAATCGCTGGACATGTATTGGAGACCTAAATCGGAGCCCATACCAAGCTTTCAGAAGTGGAGGATTCATTTGTACCCAGAATCAGCATATTTACCAAGCGTTTCAAAGATTAGTTTTGTATTATGAGAACTGTAACTAAACTTGGTGAAAAGACACATGTACTATCATTTTGAACATTGACGATGGGTCTTCTTCCATTAGATCTTTCTTTATATGTTAAAAGCCTGTGAATATACTTATAGTCCACATATCATCGAGTAAAACACTTTTCTCCCATGTTTACCATTTTATCTTCCCATTAGTGGCAATGGGTCTACTTTGCATTTATATTGCCTAAACATAAACTATTATATATAACTAAAATAGAATGTAAGGAATAAAAAGAAAAATACTTGCTCCAGATTAGTCTACTTGATCGTTCATAGATTGACTGGTCATCTCAAAGATTAAATTTCATCTCCTTCACAAAAACTTCCCTAACTCTTCTCTCTCATCCTCTTTCGAAGGAAAAAAAAAAACCTCTCTCTTTGTACTTCATACTATTTAGTCATATTCCTATTAAAGTTCTTTCTCACTGGCTTATAGTTAAGTAATGTCATTCTTATAGCTGCTACTTACTAACTGTATGAACTTAGGCCATTCACTTGAACTCTCTGAGCCTTAGTTTTCTTATCCATGAAATGGAGATAATATCTGGGTATGTTTGAGCACCTAGCACAGAATCTGACACAGAGTTGATGCTTAAAAAAACTAGTGGAATTTGAATCTGAATGCCCCCACCCAGCAAGAAAAGACAAAAGAAAGTTTAGAAATGAGTAATAGGTTTCAAAAAGCTTTTTAAGTCAAATCAGGAGAAAGAAATAAAATAGCATCTAAGTGCAACCCATCAATTTATGGGAAATAAAAAAATGTAACATAAAGAAACCAGAATCAAATCTAATAATCTTAATTCCAATATGTTTCATTTTCTGGAATTCTTATCACTAAACATAACTAATACATAAATGAATAATAATAAATTTGTATTAAGTACTAATTGCTTAATAAAGATATGATTTCCCATTTCAAGAAGCTTACAATTTAGCAAAAGTAATCACAATAATTAGAACTAGTACTTACTGAGTGTTTACTATATAGTAAACATTCAACTTACATTTTATTTAATCTTCATAACAGTATTATGAGTTAGGATCTGTTATTATCCATGTTTTATTAACAAGGAAACTGAGGCCTACAGAGTTTCAGACAGTTGCCCAGTATCATAGAGGTTTATCTGACCTCTAAGGCTATGTTCTTAACTTCTATTCAAAGAGACAATAAAAGAAAATGATGCAATATAGGATAATATATATCTTGATATCTCAATACCAACTAATACTCATGGGACCCAATGGCACTGGTTTAATGACAAGCAGAGAAAAGGCTAAGTTTATCTTCCTGTCAGAAGCAAGAACAAATGATAGGTATATTGAACGCTAACTTCCATGCTTGAAAATATGAAGAGGCTTGAAAAATATGTTTTTACTTCTCAAAGAACATATGAGCATTAATAATTCCAATATAAAATAGAATTAAAAGAGAGAAATTAAAAAGTATAAGAGTCTTACTTTAAAGTTGAAGAGATTCAAAACTTGATCCAAGAGTGTAGAGAGAAATAAATGAAAAGATAATAGAGAAAGTAAAAGTGAAAGAATTCATTCTATTGGACTAAAAATTCACAATAGTTAGGAACCACCTCTCTCAAAAGGCAAATCCATACCTTCTAGAAAAGTGTTTTCACCCCAACCTTGACAGAACAGCCTAAAAGAGAAAAGAATCAAAACCAGAATTCATAGAATAAAGAGTATAGAAACGTGACAGAGAAGAAAAAGAAGATGCTGACCCAGTGAAGATGCACATTATGGATGTAGAAAGGGTAATTAGAAGTGGCTAGGACCTACTTTGAGAAGGGAAATAATACTGGAAAAAATTGAACAGTTCTGATAGTTCTAGGATACCAAACACTGACCCGAGAGGGGTGTTGAAAGTTCCCTGTGAGGTGACCACGTTGAACCAAAGAGAGCTAGTACTGCTGTCTTGTTCAATCATACACCCAGGAGCATCCAGTGGTATTGATCCTTATAGATTGACTGGGATATATCTTTAGGGAAATCACATCATTGGAAGGAAACTGAAACATTTGAGAATATAACGGTAGTTTTTGTTGATTTTCTTTGGGTGAAACGTAAGGATATGGGAGAAATCACTGAATGAAATTTAAGTTCTCAACCATGGTTTTAAATAAGTACTGGAATGAAAGACATCTAAAATGGAGGTGTTATCTTACAAAGGAGAATAAGGTGTGTTGGACTGGAAACTACTTAAAGTAATTATGGAGAAAAGAAATTAAAAACAGAAATAAACATAAAGAATGGATGGTAGTTCTAACATGGATATTCCAAATCACATCTGCTGTGTCCTCACACCCTTCTTACAAATGCTATTTTAATCAGTTGGTATAAAATGCCCCTTTCCTCTCCAGCTCCAGATAACTAGGCCAAGAATAGACTTGTGACACCAGAGAAAATAAGCCACAAGCCAAGCCACAGCAATCTTATTTGGGAGACTGTTTAAAGCAGAGGTACCAAGACTGAATTTTGAGGTTGGGAGCCGGAAATGCTCATTGGAGATAACATCAACATTTTCTGTCTTGTGCACGGTGAAGCAGAGAATGCTGGGCTGCTGAAACTGAAGAATGGTACAAACGTACCACAAAATCAAGGAGCACTAAGAGAGTGATATCAATTCCTAACTGTTCTGATGTCAACTGAGTTCCTTGTGGAGCCCAGCTATTCTGCTTGGTCACATATTCTATGATATATCCCTATAGTCTTTCATTAAATGCCCCATTGATAGTTTAAGTTAGTTAAGCAAAAGATTCATATCTAAATCATGTAGAAACAAGAACAACAGTGTGAGTGTGATGCAAATCATTTTAACAGGAATAATAATTGAGGAATAGGTCATAAATAATTCCACAGCTTCACAATCTCAAGTGTTTTATGTACCAATATAAAATATAGCTTATAAGAGAAATAAACTTGAGATTGTAGAATGGCATAATAAATATGCTTCATAGGAAGCAGTAGAAAGGATTTGGTAGAATGGAATACGAAAGAGTAATGATAGAGGCTAAAATATTCAGACATTTAAATTCAACTATTCACACATTTACTAAGGGTTTCATTCAACTAAAAAAATTGTTTTTAAATTTTTTTAATTTTTCAATTACCTTTGACACATAATATTATATTTAGTTCAGGCTTACGAACAGTGATTAGACATTTATATAACTTGCAAAATGATCACCACAATAAATCTAATACCCCTCTCACACCATACATATTACAATATTATTGACTATATTTCTTACACTATACATACCCATGACTATTTTTTTTACTCTTTTAAAATTAAGTTTATTGAGGTAACATTGGTTAATACAATTATATAATTTTCAGATGTACACTATAATTTGACATCTGTATATTCTATTGTGTGTTTACCACCCCAAGTCCAGTTTCCTTCAGATACCATATATTTGATCCCCCTTTGTCCATTTCACCCTCCCCTTATCCCCCTATATTTAACCGCCTTTATCCCTTCTACTTCCCCACTCCCTACCCTCTGGTAACCACCAGTCTATAGTCCACATCCATGAGTCTCTGTTTCTTTGTCCTGTTCATTTTTTGCTTTTAGGTTTATATCCCACATATAAGTGATATCATGTGATTTTCAGCTTTTTCTGTCTGGCTTATTTCGCTTAGCATTATTATCTCGAGATCCAACCATGTTGTTGCAAATGGCAGTATTTCATCTCTTCTTATGGCTGAGTAGAATTCCATTTTATATATGTACCACAGCTTCTTTATCCAACCATCTATCATAGGACACTTTAGTTGTTTCAATGTCCTGGCCACTGTGAATAATGCTGCTATGAACATCGGAGTGCATAAATCTTTACAGATAAATGTTTTCAGTTTTTTGGAGGTAGATACCCAAAAGGAGGATTGCTGGGTGACATGGTAATTCTATTCTTAATTTTTTGAGGAACCTCTATACTGTTTTCCATAGAGGCTTTACCAATTTGCAATCTCCCCAACAATGTATGAGGGTTCCCTTTTCTCCACATCCTCGCCAACACTTGCTGTTTTTTGATTTATTGATGATAGCCATTCTGACAGATGTGAG